GGAAGATGTGAGGCAATGGAGAGGAGGTTTAGGAGTCTCACTGCAGAGGCAGGGAGGGCTGTATAGGCAAAAAATCTGAACCAGCAATGCTTTTTGTTCTCTTTTCTCCTCTCCCCATCTCTTCTTCTACCCTTTTTATTCTTCAGCGCCCTACTACTAACTCCTAAGAGCTCACCATTTCCTGTAGGCAGGTTAAGCAGTAGATAAGTTTAATGAAGCACTCCACCAAAAAATGAAATCATTTGATAGAGTTATGGGAAAATTAAAATAATCTGTTCTCTCTCTTGTGTTAGCTGAGATGGGCCACATCATGTTACAGTAATTTAAATTCAAAACATTGGTGATAGAACTAAAAATCAGACTCCTGGTGTTAAATTTAAATTAGCCGTCATGAATACATTACAGTACTTGACAAAACCAAGGCTTTTAAGGTTACTGTTCCATTTAGTCAAATTCCACTTATCAGTGGATTACAGGCTGACACATAATCAAACTTTTTATTTACTAATCATGATTTGGCTCTGCCCTCCGACACATGGGATAACGTTAGCCAGGAGCTGAGGTCCACACAGTCGCCCAGAAGCGTAACTATAGAAGACAGACATACCTGTTCTGTCCATATGTTGGGACTCGTCTCCTGGCTAAACTCAGGGAGCAGTTTTTATTTTACTGAGGTTTTTTTTACTCCAAAGTCAGATGATTTATCCTGGATTGTTTTTGGTGTTTAGTGCCCCACAGGGCTGCAGATCATCTCACTTTCACTTCTTATAGTATGAATACATTTTCATCTTGTGCATACTAATTTGAAAAACAAAAAGCTGAAATCTATTGACAGGTGACAAATTAAAGGAAAAACCAACAAGATGTGCTGGGGCACCAGGTGCCACCAGAACAGCCTCAGTGCACCTTAACACTGACTTTCCAAGTCTCTGATCCCTACTGGTGGAATGAACACCATTCTTCCAAAAGATATTCTGTCAGTTAGTGTTTTGATGATGGTGGTAGAGACGCTGTCTAACATGTCGGTAAATGGGTGTTCAGTCTCCCATGGGTGTTTAACTGGGTTGAAATCTTGTGATTGTGAAGGCCATAGCATATGATTTGTATCATTTTCATGCTTATCAAACCATTCAGTGATCTCTTGTTCCTTATGGATGAGAACACATCTCAGAGGAGACCACTTATTTACTCCCTTTTCCTTTAATTCATCACTTGTCTGAACAGTATATGAAGTTAATCAATCCATTTTAACAGTAACTTCATGAATCAGTTGTAGACTAATTTGATGTGTGAGATTTTAATGAAAGTGAATGGACTCCAGTCCTGGTGCAGAATAAAACTGTAGATGACTTGTCGCTGATGTGTCTCTCTCTTCTTCAGGCTCTGCCCTATGTAGCTCTGCTTATAGTGATGCTATTCTTCATATACGCTGTCATCGGCATGCAGGTAAGCTGTCGCCTTGTCCCTTTGTTTTCCTCTTTCTACTTTCTCCTTCTCTCCTTTAGCAAGCCTTTGTTACATGTCTGTTTTTTTTTGCCTTCCTGTTCAGTTACATCATCCCCTTTCTTCCCCCTCTAGATATTGATATCTAGTTACAGTCTGTCTTTGCCTCACAGCTTCCTCTGTCTCTGTCTCTGTCTGTCCTTCTCTCTCTTTTACAAGCTCTTGTATAGTTTGTGTCACTAATGATGAGTGGGAGACACTTTGATTTGATTTACTGGGGACAGCTGGCCTCTAATTCTGATTGAGTTCCTCTTCTCAATGCTAATATCATATGTTGTGTGCTGTGGCTACTTCCTTCCCTCCTGTGCAGATGTTTGGTAAGATAGCACTGCGGGACCACACACAGATCAACAGGAACAACAATTTCCAGACATTCCCTCAGGCAGTGCTGCTGCTCTTCAGGTGAGGAAGATTATTATGCTCATCATCATTATTTTCTGCTTTTTCCCATTCTTCCTGTTTCTTTTATACCTACCCTTTGTTCAAGGGTTCAAAAATACACATCTTCTGCCTCTCTCTTTGCATTATCATTCTCCTCCTTTTTCCATAATTACTTTCTGTAATGCTATGTTAATAACAATAACTTTTCTCTTTCCTTTTTTGATCTCCTGTAGTTTTCGCTTCCATTTATCCCAAAAAGCTTTGTAGATTTTGCATTAGAGCGTATCACTGACATTTTATGACAGTGGGTTAATTAAATGCCAGGTTATCTGTAAATGTCAGGCTGTAAATTTAGCCAACTCCTTGACTTGACTCTGCACAAGAGCCAATGTGAGAAAACATTTTGTCAGTTTGTACAATGAGACCATGTTACCATGCAAAGAATTAAAAAATTAAAAAGCGGTAAATATTAGCCAATGATCTCCATAGTGTCATCACCAATGATTTGACATAGAATCCACAGTTACTTATACACCTGTATACTCAGTAGTTAGTTGATAATTGTTGTAAACTTGCCAGTGATTTACCACAAACCACTCTGGTTCACTGAGGACACCTTCAGCACAGAATTCTACTGATTATGTATTTAACTGCCTGGAACCGCTCCCAGAATCCTTTTTGTCCTGTGTAATTGTGGCAATGGTAAGTTTCCTTGCAGAGGGGGAAAAAATGAAACGATAGATCAGATATAATTTACTAGTACACACTTTGAATTTATATGGCAGCCAGCTTATTGTTTTTATAAGGTTTTTGGTATAAAAACATAAAAAGGGCCATTTCTATCCATTATTATAGACCCCTTCATGGGCTATATCATTACACTAGGCTTCCATTCAGAGACACTTGGATTCCTCATATTTGCTATGTTTAAGAGTAACAGTCATCATTTCCGCAGTCTTATTAAGCACTTTGTGGTATATTTTAAATCCAGCAGAAAGTCAACACTAAATAAATAACAGCAAACAAAGCTTAGTTCTGCAAAATCAATTTTTTTTCATTATTATTTTGTAAATTCAGTCTATTAGGATATGAATAAACTTTTTAAATAACTGTGACATTTGTCTATAGGTGCTCCATTTTTTTTTTGTCTTTGTACCTGTGTGTGTGTGTGTGTGTGTGTGTGTGTGTGTGTGCGTCCGCATCTCTATATGCTTGTATGGTTGGGT